CATTGACTTAGTTTCTCGTTCCTGGGTCTTTTTTGGTTTTGCAATTATTTGCAGTTGTGGTAGTTCGGCATTTTAGGGAAAAAAGGTAGAGAACGCCCATGGAAGTGATTTGTCTGAGAGAGGTTGCTGGGAGTTTCTTCTCTGCTTAAGATCAGGCCAATTGCTGTCCAGTTCTGAGAACTGACAGCATTTTGCACCACTGAAAAGTAAGATCATCTTTGTGACTACCACCTTTCAAAAACTCAAGCCCGAGAACTTCTTGTCTCTGTCTCTGGCCTCTAAAGGTAGCAGAACTCTGGGGAGGCTGGCCCGCTCCCCTGTGATCTGTGCAACCTGCGGGGGAGGGCTGGGCTGGACTCCAGCGGCTCCCGGGCGTGGGATGGAGACTGCGGGGCACCCCCAGCCCCAGGCAGGGCCGGGATCTGCTGTGGCCCCTCCCGGGAAAACCCTCTGGGCCCTGTTCCAGTGGGGTGGCTGAAGCCCTTCCCAGGAGAACCCCTGCCCCCCTCACCGACACCTCTCCTCCTTCCCCCAGCCCGCACAAATGGCTCCAGGCTGAAAATCCTCCGCTCCCTTCCAGCGGCTTCTGGGCTGAAATCCAACACCATGACTGCCTGCTGTGGCTTGGGCCAGATTTAACCCTTTCACTACACAGATGAGACCTGTAGACTTTAATCTTCTCTCCAGAGAGAGGCGGACAAGAGCAGTCGACACGTAGAGAGACAAGATGAAACATCAAGGTCAGTAAAAGAAGGAGTCAAGCCCCAGATGGAAGGAGAATGAGAAGATGCTCTAATAATCTGAAATATTCTTTTGGTAGGGCCGTGGAGATGGACAATAATGTTCTAAAAAATAACTCCTTTAATTCATGAAAGGGTATTGGGGAATGAACTATTCAAGCTGGAGATCTGAGCAAAGGCATCCATTGATGGAACTAAGCAGATGGTGGAGTAGCTGTGATCCCATAAAGATGCTTGAGCAGGGAGAGAGATGAGAGCTGATGAAGACCCTTTGCTCCAGGGAAACAAGAAAAAAATCTCTGTTCCCAGAGATGATCACAGAGACAGATGGAGAGAACTTTTGCCTTTGAATAACTCATCCTTAAAATAATACTCCTTCAGTTCATGGCCCATGAACACACCTCTGAGTGGTGTGAAAATGGGAGATGGCAGAATTTGTGCTCAGGCGGCTACCAGCTATAGAAATGAGAAGCCATGAGAAAATGGTTTTCTTGTGGAGAACTCTCCATGGAATGACAGGAGAAAACTCCTCTCCCTACAAAAGCTGATGAAAAGATTATTGTATAGTTGGTACTGCTTTAACATCCCAGGTTTTGTCTCTATGTTGTCAGTTGGGAAAGGAAAAAGGTTGGGTGGGGGACAAAAGGTTTCTGGAGGTTTTATTCTGGTTTCTTATTCTTGTAGTCCTGTTAATAAAGTTTCTTTATTCCTTTTAAGTTTTAAGTCTGTTTTGCCCTTTTCCTAACCTGTATCTCACAGCAAGAAATGAATAGGTACTCTGGTGATTTTAGTTACTTGATGCACTGGCCAGGAAACCCAAATTAGTGAATTTAAACCACTACAGAGCATCCCTTGGATATACAGAATTTTAGAGGTGGACTCCCAATTTCAGACATGGACACCCAGAGGAGAAGCATGGTTCTTTTCCATAGGAAGGAAAGCAGAGAGCCCAAGTGTTTCAAAGGCAGGAGACAGGTGGCTCCTGGGAGGCCCAGCCAGCCAGAATTGTTTGTCCTGGCAGCTTTTGTCATGGATGAATCCTTGGATATATGAAATTTGGGAGGAGGAATCTCAGTTTTGACCACAGACACCATGAGAAGAAAGATGGTTCTTTTCCATTGGAAGGGAAGCACCAAGCCCCAGTGTTTGGAAACCAGGAGAGAGGCAGCCCCAAGAGGCCAAGGGCAGCCAGATCCGTCTGTCTTGGAGGTCTCAGCTTGGACTAATCCTTGCATGTATGGATGTGGAATCCAAATTATGGCCATGAGTACCTGGTAAAGATGGATGGGTTTTTTCCATAGGAAAGAGAAGCACAAATTCCAAGTGTTTGGGAAGATGACCAGCCAGACCTGTCTCTTCTGGCACCTTTTGTTTGGGAGCTATCCTTGGACATAGGGCATTTTGGAGGTGGAATCTCAATTTTGGCCGTGGATGTCTGGACAGGAAGAAGAATTATTTTTATTAGGAAGGAAAGCACAGAGCCACAGTGTTTCAAAGGCACATGAGTGCCAGCCCTCAGGAAGCTAAGGCCAACCAGACTTGTTAGTCCTGACAGCTTTTGTCTGGGAGCTATCCATGGCTATAGGGAACTCTCGAGGCAGATTCCCAATTTTGGCCATGGGCAGCTAGTCAAGATGGATGTTTTTTTCCCAGAAGAAAGAAAAGCATATGGTGTCAGTGTTTCAAAGGCAGATGAGAAGTGGCCCCTGGGTAGCCAAGGCAGTCAGATCTGTCTCTCCTGGCAGATTTCATCTGGCAACAATCTTTGCATATAAGGAAATTTGGAGGAGGAATCCCAATTCTGGCCATTGGCCCCTGGAGGAGGACAGTTCTCTCCCATAGGAAGGAAGGCCCAAAGCCCAAGTGCTTCAGGGGCAGGTGAGAAGCAGCCCTCGACATGCCAAGGTCAGCTGGACCTGTCATGTGGTCCCCAAGAGGCCCAGCCAGACAGAGCTGTTCCATGTTCCCTTGGTTTTGTGGGACCCCACAGTGTCACAATGGCCCCACAGTTCCATGAGGTTCTGTAGTGTCACCATGGTCGTTGTCAGAGGCTGGATGAGGATGAGTTTGATGTCCTGGGACACCTTGGGTGTTGGAATCTGAGATACAGAGTGTGTGCCCTTGTTTCTAATACTTAGTTCTAAGATCCAAAGAAACACTGAATTTCATACAGCATGAAATTCATGAGCATGTTTTCATGGTGATACATAAGAACAAATGTTAAAGTTAGATAGAAAAAGTGCAAGTGTGTAGATTAGAAAGTTTCTTAAATCACTGGGTGAAAAAGTAGTTTAGAGAGCAAAAGACAAGACGGAAGATTTAGGGTGTTGTCTCTTGTCTTTCTTCTTTCTTCTTCATGTTCTTCTCCTAGAGGTTTTTGGGTGGTGGTAGTAAGTGATTGGATAGAGAACGCCGCAGTGCAGCACACAGGTGTTGGATCATTGGGTCACTAAGAAAAATAATGTAGTTGGCATGTGTTAATTGGGTAAATGGACATATAAAAGACCTTGCAAAGAATCTTTGTTAGCCGTTTTACCCGTTTTCTATCATAGTGAACCTAGCTCCTTGTACCTTGTAATGCTGATAAGAAAAAACAACTGAGACTGAATAAGAGAAAATTGCCTCCCTCTTGTCAATCTTCAGTTCAAAGGGAAAAAGAACCTAACCCAAAAGTCCTTAACAGGACACTTGGGATGCTCAGAATGCCCGTGTGGGGTCAGGGGTGGGTCAGGCCTTGGTGTGTGGTGGGAAAGAGCCCCGACCCCAGCCCTGTTAGGGCTGTCAATCACAGAGCAGATGCTGTGTTAACCCAGCTCTGATTGGCCAAGCTGCCAATCAGTCACATACCTGGTGCCTACCCAGACTCTGATTGGCCAAGCAACTGGAAGTCCCATGCAAGGGTCAGGCCCATGAAGGCCCAAGGGCTGAAAAGATGGAGCCTGAGGTCAGCCCACGGTATGGATCCTGTATTCCCCTGGGGTCCCTCTGTTAGCGACACTGGAACCCGAGCAATTGGTGTGTCTTGCTTTAGACCTTCTGTCTTTCTGTTTTCTCTATTTCTTCTCCTTCTAATCTTACTGACCTGGAACATTTTTGAGTAACTTAACATCTTAAGGATTAAAGGTTTCTGGGTTAAGTGGGCTTAATTAAATAAGTTTATGCTTTCATAAAAGTTTGATGCTGAACTGGATGTTGTATTAAACCCTTTGCCAAAGTTCCTTGATTGTCTGGGAATTTTGCCAGTAGAATTTTGTGTCATTTTGACCTCTTAGCTCAGTTGGTCAGAGCATGGTGCGAGTGTCACCGAGGTTGTGGGTTCAGTCACTGTGTGGGCCATTCACACAGTGATTGAACTTGGACTTGATGATCCTTGTGGGTCCCTTCCTACCAAGAATATTGTTTGCATCTGTCCATGTTGAGAATATTGGGTTGGTGTTATCTTAACTTCAAGTTATCCTGATTTGGAGAAAAGGAAGTCAGGAGAAGAGAGAGAGGGACAGAGATCCACAGTCAGCCTTGGATCCAGTGCCATCTCAGCTGCTGTGAGCTCCGGGGCAATGGCACATGTCAGTGTCACACCCGCGTCACAGCCTCACCTGCTCTGCTCCCTCTCCCAGCTGGGGTTTTCAGGCTGCCAGGGGCTTGGCAGCCACTTTGGGGCTGGAGCAGAGGCTGCAGTGGCTGGGCTGGGGCAGTGACCACCCCATACAGGCAGAACTTGCTCTGCCCCCAAACACGCCCTGGTGATGTCTGGGGCCATTCATCATTTCTCTGCTCCCCAGCGCCGAGGCAACGCACTCTGGCTCCAGCTCTGAGATTGTGCCCATGGCAACCAGCCCTGGCAATGGGGCTCCATGGAGCTGCTCTCAGGAACACCCCAAAAGTTGGGAAGTGCCCCAAATCTGCCTCAGAAATGTAAGATACCCCAAAATCTCCTCAGGAACATGGAATATATAAAAACCTCACTCAGTAATGGGCTCCCCCCTCCCTTCACCATCCCCAAACATTGCTTGTCTCATTTGCAGACCCCACCCCACCTTCCCAATCCCAACCCCAACCCATCCCATTCCTTCTGGATATCAAGACCCCCTTCCCAAGCTCCATTTCCCCCATTTCACACCTCCCAAACTCCATACCATCCATCCTGCCCCCCCCAATGCCCATCTCACCCCTCATGATTTGCATCCCACTTCACCCAATCCCCTTCCAACCCCATTCCACCTGATGCCTTCAGAAGGCTGACCTAGAACAGAGGCTGGACAGAGTTAAGAATAAAGTCTATTAAAAGGCCTTTAAAGACAGACCTTGGGCAGTACAAGATCCTGGCCAGGGCTACACCCAAGATGGACCAAAAATGGTCACAAAAATGGACAACTCATCATGACGTCTCACATTTTTAGAAGTTTAGGTCCATCTGGATATTTGGGTTCACTGTCCAATTACAGCTTCAGATGATGAAGTCCCATCCTTCTTGTTTTCTCTCTTCAGTCCACCCTTGTTTATGCTTTTGAGTCTGAAACATAATTGAAACTATCCTTGGTATCAAGCTAGAAAAGGAATTGTTTTGTCTACCTACTCTGTGAAGACAGCTCACTAACACTTAATATGAAGTTCAAAACTACAAACCAAGGCAGCACGGAATATGAAAAATATGAAAGCTAAAACTTAAGGCAACACACCCTGCGGGGCTGTGGAATCCAGGAATTTTGGGGTGGGAACCGAGTAGTTTTCAGTGACACTGAGTAGTTTTGAGGTGACAGATCGAACTCTCTCATCTCCTTGAGTACCAAGAAATGGAGACAACTACACCTAATAACCCCCAAAGCCCTCACATGTACCTCCCTGAATCCCAGATTCCCTTGAATCACCAGTGAATGTGAGGTTTTAGATGATTTGATGAATTTGTAGACTTTTATTCCAATTTTGTCTGTTTTAAAGGCATGAAGATGAATCAAAAGAATATTAGGGCCAAATCAAAATGACCACCAACCCAGCGTCTTCAAAACGCAGATCACTGGGTACATGGGTCATCAGGGCTCTGCCCAACATGGGTCCTCTGATGGGGGATGGAGTTGGAGCAGCGCACAGAGCTCTTCCTGCACTTGGGGCACTCGCAGGGCTTCCCTTACCAGTGCCTCTGTTGGTGTTTGGTCAAGTGAGAGCACCTGGAGAAGTTCTTCCCACACTGGGGACACTCATAGGGCCTCTCCCCAGTGTGGATGCGCTGGTGAATAGTGACTTCAGACTTTCGCTTGAAGCCCTTCCTGCAGTTGGGGCAGCGGAAGGGCCTCTCATCCATGTGAATCGGCTGGTGCTGAAGGAGGTAAGAGGTGCTCCAAAACATCTTCCCACACTCAGGACACTAATAGGGCCTCTCCCCAGTGTGGATCATCTGGTGGACAACCAAATTTGGCATCCAGCAGAAGGTCTTCCCACATTTCCCACACATATAGGGCTGTTCCCCAGTGTGGGTCCTCTGGTGGCAGATCAGGTTGGAGCTCTGGCTGAAGTTCTTCCCACATTCCCCACACTCATAGGGCCTCTCCCCAGTGTGAATGCGCTGGTGAATGATGAGTTTGGAGTTGCAGCTGAAGCCCTTCCCACATTCCCCACACTCGTAGGGCCATTCCCCAGTGTGGATCATCTGGTGGCGGATCAGGCTGTTGCTCTGGCTGAAGCTCTTCCCACACTCCAAGCACTTGTAGCGCTTCTCCCCATCCTGAAGCTGCTCATGGACCACCAGCTCAGAGCCCCGGCTGGATCTCCGGCCGCCTTCACAGGGTGAGTCTTTCCTCCTCAGAGCACCCTGGGCTGGGTTTGGAGCCCCTCCTCCTGTGGGATCTCCCAGGCTTTTCCTCCCCATTGGATTCCTGTGCTGTGGAGCTGCTCAAAACAGCCTCTTCCACGAGGTGCTGCTGTGGGGATTTGTCCTCCCTGGTCTCCATCCTCAGCTCCTTGTCTGGGGGAGGAAGGACAAGGAGAGGATGGGATTTGCCTCCGTGCCAGAGGGAAGGGGAAGGAGATCCCCCCAGGGCCGTCCCCGGCAGGACGGCGTCGGCAGCGGGGTTGTCCTGCAGCCGGGGGCCAGGCTGGGCTGGGAGATGGAGCAGGATAGAGGGGGAAAGGGGCACTGACTTCCTCCTCACCTGCCTGGGTGTCCTGGGGCATCTTCCTCTTCCTCACAGCCTCCTTCTCCGTTCAGCCAAGGTTTGAGAATGGGAAATCCTGGTTTGGGGAAAAGTACAATTCATGAGCACATTGAATTAGGGGTTTCCTTCTCTCCAAGTCCATCTCTAGAGGTCACCAGCCATCCATAAACAGCACCCAAACACCCATATTCAGCCATGAAAATGCCTCCCAGTGGTTCCCAATCTCTGGCCTCTCCCCTTTGGTGTTTAGGGTTTCCCCCCATCCTCCCCAGGCTGCTGGGAGTGCCAGGAATCCAAAGTTCCCCATTTCCATCTCCCCACTTAGGGATGCTGGGACTCCCCAATGTCTCCCCAAGGGGCATTTTCTGCTCAGCTTTAGAGTTCTTCATTCTCCAAACATCGCCCCCCAAAAATTCCAACCCAGGGACCCCTCAGGATATCTGGGCTAAGCTCCCCCTGCTAGCGTTCAGGAACAGACATAATCACAAATGATTATATGCAGGTGCTTTATTGAAGAGCTCTGGGTGTCAGGGGTACACATACCCAAATCTGACCCATCTTGCTTTTGAACTGAACATGTTTTATACTCTATTGTTATTTAACTTACATATTAATTATTAAACTTACATTGTTCTATTGTAAGCATTGTTTTTACCCAAGCATGGATTTCTCGTGATCTCCTCCAGCCCCTTAACATCGTTCCTCATGTTCTTTAAACAATAATTATATCTAATCACATCTAACAATTGTATCATGATAATCTACTGATTACACAGGTGCAGTTTCACCTGATCTTTAGCAAGCACAAGGCCTAACATTTCCCAGGGCCTACTTTTTCCAGGCTTGCCAAACCTAATTTCTTTCTAAGTCTCCGAATTTTCTAAGATTTTAAAACCTTTTACTATCACCCCTCCCCGGCCACCTGTGGGATGGGGGGTGATGACCCCATGGGTGGGGGCTGCAAATTCAGGGAATTCTTGATCTGGTGGTTCCTTCTCCTTTCCCTGATCCTCCTTTGTCCCTCCTCTTCCTCCTGCTTCTTGTCTTCCATTCCTCCTCCATCTCCTCCCTAACTACACCTCCTTCTCCTACTTCCATCTCTTTTCGCTCTCCTTCATCCCTTCTCTTCCATCCCTCCTCCTCCTCCCCCAGGAGCAGTGACACCCTCGGTGCCCCATTCCCAAACCCCTCACAGCCCACGGCAGGAGTGGGGATGGAGCTGGGACAGGTCGGGATGGGCAGCACGGGGCTCTCAGGTGCTCCCACCTGCTGGAGGTGGGGGGAACCTGGCCCAGGGAAAAGGAGAGGGAAACTGGGAAAATTGGGGGCTGCAGATCCAACCTGGGGCTGGCTGGGAACCCTGGCTGGGGACTGCCAGCCCTTGGGGCTCCTCTGGGGAGATACGGGAGGGGTGAACGCAGAGAGGGCTGGGGGATCCCAGGAGTGGCAGCACTGGCAGGGACTGGTTTGTACTGCGGTAACTGGAACCTTACTGGGGCAACTGGGAATGATTGGGAATGAGCACAAGCATGCTGAGGGCACATGGGATCTACTAGGAGTGACTGTGACCATACTGGGGAAATTGAAATCACACTGGGAACAATGAGAACCATGCTGGGAACAACAGGGATCAAGTGGGAGTGACTGGGTCTACACTGGGGGCAACTGGGCATGACTGGAACCATGCTGGGAGCGGCTGGGATCATCTGGGGAGGGACTGGGACTACACTGCGGGCAACTGGGTACAACTGGGATCACACTGGGAGGAACAGGGAGTGACTGGAACCATGCTGAGGGCAACTGGCATCCTACTGGGATCACAGTGGGAGCAGCTGGGCCATGCTGGGCAAGACTGGGACCATACTGGCAGCAACTGGGACTGCACTCAGGGTGACTGGGAGTAACTGTGATCAGGCTGGAAGCACCGGAGGAGTGACTGAGAGCAACTGGGATAGACTGGGAGAGACTGAAACCACAGTGCAGGTAAATGGGAGCAACTGGAAGCACACTGGATAATCCTGGGAGCAGCGGTGCCCATGCTGGGGTCATACTGGGATCCTACTGGAACTAGCTGGGATCATAATTGGAGTGACTTAAAAGGTGCTGTCTGGGACTGGAACCATGCTGGAGGTGACTGGGAGCAACTGGGCCCATCCTGGGAGTGTCAGGGAGTCACTCTGGCAATGACTGAAATCACACTGGGAGGATCTGGGAGTGACTGGGCTCATACAGGGGGTGGCTGGGTACAACAGCTCATACTGGGAGTGACTGAGATTGTAGTGGGAGCGACTGGGATCATCCTGGAAATGACTGGAACCATACTGGGAGTGACTATGGCTCCTACAGGGATAGCACTGGGAACCACTGGGATTACAGTGGGAGCAAATGGAACCTGACTGGGGGTTACTGGGAGCTACTGGGCCCATGCTGGGAGGAAAATGTGGATACATTGGGAGCAACTGGGATCAATTGGAAGGTACTGGAACCATGCTGACAGGACTGAGGCCACAACTGGGATCATAGTGGGAGTAACTGGGCAAGAATGGGATCATTCTGAGGTAACTAAAACCTTACTGGGGCAACTGGGATATACTGGGAGTGTCTGTGACCACACTGGGAACAGCTGGAATCACAGTGCAGGCACCTGGGAGTGAGTGGGACCATGCTGAGATGGACTGGGACTATTCTAGGGACAACTGGGATCATACTGATAGGAACTGGGAAGAATTGCAACTATTCTGGGATCATACTCAACTGGGATCATACTGGGACCACAGTGGGAGCAGCTGGGTCCATGCTGGCTGAGACTGGGATCCCACTGAGGGTGACTGGAGTCATACTGGGATTGACTGGGAGTGGCTGGGAACAACAGGAATCATGCTGAGAGCAACTGGGAGGAGCTGGGAATGACTGGGAGCGTGCTGGGGCTGACTGGGATATACTGGGAGAGACAGGGAGTCCCAGGGATCACACTGGAGGCTACTGGGGTCATACTGGAACTGACAGGGAGCAACTGGGGGCCACTGGCCTCATACTGGGAGTGACTGGGATTAGATTGTAAGTGACTGAGATGATAGTGGGAGTGTGAAGGAAACTGGAAAATTGGGGAAAAAATGGGGAAAAAACCAGGATAAATTCAAGGAAAATAAAAGGGAAAAATCAGGGAAAAAACCCAGAAAAAAATCAGGGTGAAATAAAAAAAATGGAGTAAAAATCAGGAAAAAATTGGGAAAAATTTGGGGAAAAACAGGGAAAAATTTGACAAATAATTGGGGAAAACCAGGAAAAATTTGAGGAAAACAAAGAGAAAACTCAAGAAAAAAATGGGAAAGAATTGGGGAAAAATATCAGGAAAGAAAGTGGAAAAAATCTTGGAAAAAACAGGAAAAATGGGGAAAAAAACAGGAAGAAGTAGGAAAAGAAGGAAAAATTGGGAAAAAACAGGATAAATTGGGAAAAAACCCCAAGAAAATCAGGAGAAAAACTGGGAAAGAACTTGAAAAAATCAGGGAAAATCAGAAAAAGAAAAAGGAATAAAATCTAAAAAAAATGGGAAAAAATTGGGAAAAAAACCCAGGAAAAATCAGGGAAAATTAAGGGAAATTTGAGAAGAAATTGAGATAAAGCTAGATAAAATTTCGGAAAAGAGGAGAGAAAAATCAGGAGAAAATGGGAAAGGCATGAAAAAATTGGAAAAAATTAGGGAACATATCAGGAAAAGAAAGCCAAAAAGACCCTGGTAAAAATCAGGAAAAAATCGGGAAAAGAATTGAAAAGTCAAGGAAAAAGCTGAAATATTTGAGAAAACATTGCAAAAAAATCAGGAAAATAACTGGGAAAAAATCGTGAAAAAAAACAAACATAAAAAAAAAAGAAAAATCAGAGTAAAATCAGGGTAAAAATCAGGAAAAGTATAAAAAAAATCTGGGGAAAAAAAAATTTTAAAAATCAGGAAAAAAAATTTGAAAAAAATGTGAAAAACTGCAAAAATCAAGGAAAAATTTGAGAAAAAAATTCAGAAAAAAAAATTTAAAAAATTAGAATAAGAAAGAGGAAAAAATCAGTAAAAATAAGAAAAAAATGGGGAAAATCAGGAAAAAAATTGAGATAAAATTGGGAAAAATCAAGAAATGAGAGGGGAAAGAAACCTGGAAAAAAATCAGGAAAAATCAGTAAACAATTAAGGAAATACAGGGGAAAATCTGGGGAAAATTGTGAAAAAATTGGGGAATAACCAGGAAAAAAATGCAAAAAAAAAAAAGATAAAAAAACAGGAAAAGAAAAAAAGGGAAAAATCAGGAAAAAAAAAGAGGAAGAAGACCAGGAAAAAAATGTGGAAAATCAAGGAAAAAAATCAGGGTAAAATGATGAAAAGAAAGTGGGGACAAAACCTTGTAAAATGGAAAAAAATTGGGAAAAAGCTAGGAAATATTAAGGAAATGAACAGGCAAAAATCAGGAAAAATTAGGAAGAAAAGGGGAAAAATTGGGACAAATCAGAAACAAAAATCAGGAAAAAGTGGGGAAAAAATGTGAAAAAATTGTGAAAAATGAGGGAAAAATCAGGAAAAGAAAAAGAGAATAAAATCAGGGAAAAAAATGGGAAAAATCAGGGAAACTAGAAAAATTAGGAGAAAATCAGGAAAAACAGAGAAAAAACTGGGAAAAACAGGAAAAAAATGGGGAAAAAACAAGGGAAAAAGTAAGAAAAAATAGGGGAAATCAGGAAACTGGAAAAAAATGGGGAAAAAATGTGGAAAAAGGAAAAAAAATCAGGAAAAAAAAAGGAAAAAATGGGGAAAAAAGAGAGGGGAAAAAAATGGGGAAAATACCAGGAAAATATGAGGAAAATCAGGGACAAAGCAAGGAAAATAAAGAGGAAAATAATCTGGAAAAATCGGGAAAAAGTAGGAAGAAATGGGAAAAAAAAAATAGGAAAAAATGGGAAAAATCAGGGAAAGAACAGGATGAACTCCCCCCATCCCATTTTCCCATGGAATTTTGGGAATTGCCTACCTGGGAGGTTGTAGAAGAATTTCCAGACCTGGGAATCCAGGGAGTGGGGAAAGGTGGAATTGTGGATGAGCTGGTCCAGATTTTTGGGAAGGTAGATTGCCTGGTCCTCTTCCAGCTTCCAGAATGTTCAGATGAATGCCACACCTCCTTCCAACTGGAAATCATGGAAAAATCATGGGAAAGTTGTGATTCAAATTAATGGAGTTTTGCCTCCAAAACACCCTTTTTTTCCGCCAAAATTTCTGTTTACCCCCTCAAAATTTCAATTTTCCCCCCTCCAAAATATTAATTTTTGGGATAATTAAATGGGGAAGATAGGAGGAAATGGGGAAAAATAGGATGGAAATGGAGAAAAAATGGGGAAAAGTTGGGGAAAACTAGAAAAAAATGGGGGAAAAGAGAGAAAAAGGAGAGAAAAAATGGAGCAAAAATGGGGGAAATTGAAGCCAAAATGGGAAAAAATAGGGAAAAAACTGGATAAAAATAGGGGAAAATTGGATGGAAATAGAGGAATAATTGGGAAAAATGGAGGAAAGGAATGGAAGAAGATGGGGATAAAATTGTGGAAAAATGAGATAAAGCCAGGATAAAAATGGGGAAAAAAAATGAGGGAATCTGAGAGAAAAATGGGGGGAAAATGGGAATAAAAATGGTACAAATGAAGCGGAAGTGGGAGAAAAATGGAAGAAAATGGGGAAAACAGGAGAGAACATGGGGCAAAAAACTGTGGAAAAATAAAAAAATAGGATAAAAATGGGGAAAAATCATATGAAAATGGGATAAAAATGAAGAAAAATGGAACAAAAATGGGATAAAAACAGGACAAAAATGGGAAAAATTTGGGATAAATCGGATAAAAATGTGGGAAAATGGGGATAACATTTGGGAAAAATGGAGACAAGGTGTACCCTAATAGGGAATGACTGGGAGTAATTTGGCTCAGCCTGGTGCCGAGGTAACTGGAGTCACATGGGGAAGCAACTGGGCTCATGCTGGGAGCAGCCACTGCCGGCACCGGGAGCCCCGAACCCCTTTCCCGGCCATGCCGCCCCTCCAGCCCCAGCACCCCCCGCCGGGGTCCCGGCAATCCCAGGGGTCCCCCCCATCTCGGGGTCCCCGGTTTGCGGCTCTGGGGTTCTCCTCTCTCTGAGGTCCCGCTCAGGGAAGCCGCGACTCTCCCGGGGCTCCCCAAAACCGGGGTCACCCTGCTGCCGCGGCCCCGGCAGAGCTCGGGGGGCCCGGCCCAGGAAGCCCAACCCTCACCATGGGGGGATCCACATCCCCCCGGCCCCACCAAGGCTCTGCCGCCACCGCCACCGGGACACCCCAAAAACACCTCCCGAGGACCCCCGGGGTGCCCCCGAGGGGCATCTGCGGCTCGGCTCTGGAGCCCTGCCATCCCCAAACATCCCC